AGATGTTAGCTCAGGGCTGATCTTCCTCACACTCACAAAAAATTTAATTAAGATGATATAAATAAGCTAGTAAATGTCTTCCTTTTTTCTTCTTCTTCTAAAGCCGAACAACAACTTATCCTTACACAGAAACGCAGATGTACAGCCAAAACACTGGAGGGAATTACTTTGATACTCAAGGGAGTTCTGCACAGGTGACTACCGTGGTCTCGTCCCACAGTATGGTGGGCACTGGTGGGATTCAGATGGGCGTCACAGGAGGACAACTCATCAGCAGCTCTGGAGGAACCTATCTGATCGGCAATTCGATGGAGAATTCTGGTCACTCAGTGACACATACCACTCGGGCCTCCCCAGCGACAGTAAGTATTTGAATTTTTATTTGTTTAATTTAGCTTCTTGGTAGCTTCTATTGTACATTTTCCTCCATAGAGGGAAAAAACAAGACTGAGCAACAGATTGGGTTGGGGCAAGAATGTATTGAGCAGTGTTAGTGCTGTGGTATTATCCAGAGTGTAGTACATGTCATATTATGCAGAACGGTACTGATATGTGCTCCACAATTACATGAAGTAGGAAGTTTTTATTAATAATGTGAAGTAAGAGAGGTGATTCTTACTCATTAATGGTGATTTTAATTGGCTTTCTTCAGTGATGTTCAGTAAAATACTTGAAATTTCTACTGAGAGAACTTACTTGTATAGTATGCTGATTTACACTGGTTTTTTAAGAGATAAAAATCAAGAAGTAATATAGAGAGTAAAATATACGTTAGTTTGGAATTTTCACGTCTGTCACGAGTAATATTTATGTTAGCTAATCACCAGAGAAGTTAAGCTTTATGTAGGGCAGCATTTCCCAAAACTTAGACATTCAAGTTCAGCCATATTTACATGCCACCTGTACTATGATTTACTTAATGTATTTTTTTAGTTGATTCACTCTTAAAATAGAAAGCCAAGTGTAATTTTTTCTAATGTGTATTAAAATCCATACTTAAATACAAAATTAAAAATGTTTACCCATGTGCCATGTGTACAGTCATTTTGCATTCCACCAGAGAGACACCTTGGCGAGCACTGATCTAGGTAATTCCAATGAAAAATATTTGTATTGGCTCTGACCATAGCTATGAGCATAATATCTTAGGAACACACCTACATTTTTGAGTTTTCAAGATTTTAAAATGTAATAAATACATTTGTTTTGACACAAGATATTTTAATATATTGAAATGTCATAGAATAGTCGTAGAAAGCTGTGTAGAATTTGATATTATCAAACTCTGTAACATGAGCTTTCCATTTTCACCTCAACTAAGCGTATAAAGAATAATCATTTAGAAGTACCTAGCTAAAGTAGCAATGGGATTGGTTATCTAGATGTTTCATGTAAAAGGAGGCTGGGGATGTGAATTAAGTGCATGCGCCCCTTTTCCATCATCCTACCATATAGTTTGTTCTTATAATGAAGTAGAAGTAGAAACAAATTTGGTAGAAAATAATAATATTGAGGGGCTTTACATTTCTCATTTTATGGGTTTTCTTGAAGATAATAATATGTACTTGGTAAGTACTTTGAATCTACTTTTTCTGTTTGTAATGATTACATGTTCATACTTTCATCATTTAGTGCCTTTCCCCTAATCCGTTTTTTAAGCCCTTTATTTTTAGTTCACTACTTCTTACTAACATCAGAACAGATCACTAGCAGTTCTGAGTGGAGAGTTCCTTTTTTGTAATTTTTTTCTTTTTGAAGCATTTCTTACATGTATCTGTCTCTTGCTTTTAATAATGTTAAATATAGCATTTCTAAACCTTTTAGTCACACCAGTGTATTTATGTAGATTAGAAACTAAATCATAACCTCTCTGGACCTCAGTTCTCCTATTAATAAAATAATGGGTTAGTTAGACTAAACGATTTCCTGATTTCCTCCCAGCTTTAAAATCATAATATTTACAAAGGAATTGTAAAATGTTCTAGATGTAAAAATAACTGTACCTTTACCATAAAAAGAAAAGAGATAGAATAGGTGCCAGTGGTTTATAGTGCTCCTGAGAAGGGCCCCAGAAAGTCATTCTCAGCAGAAAGGGAAGTACTTGCCACTTACCAAGGCCCTAGGAAAACTGAAAAATAGGGAGAAAGAGTCTTTTCCCACTTCCGTTGTATCCACCCTCTCTCATGCTGGCATACCGTCCCTCTGTCCCCCATCCCTCTCCTACTTCACCTTCTCCGGGCATTTCTCCTTGCCTTCACAGTGATTTCTGGCTGCCTGTTAAACATCCTTATCAACTGAATATGGGTTTACTGAATTTCCTGGTTCTATCACTGAGTTAACTTAATTGATTTTCCAGTTCATGTAAATACAAGTGCAAACATTAACAGGGTAAATTTTATAGTTTGATTTTTTTTTTTTTTTTTGGTAAAGGACGTACTTTGGTTTTCTATATAGAGTATGAAAAGTGGCATTTCTCCTTAAGTTATCCATTATGCAAATTTTATGTGTGATTTTTATTAATTGGTAAATTTATCACTTAACTGAAGTATAACAACTGGGAATAATAGAAAAATATTTTAAAAACCAACCACCAATTCATAGTATCAATTGTACATATTAATTTATACTTTTAAAAAAGCATTAATATTTAAGATTCTGTTGTTAAGGATGGCCTTTTTGTCTCTTTTCTTTTTTACAAGAGAATTTCCTTTTTAGCAGAAGGAGTATAAAAGTTAAAAAAATAACTTTTGCATGCAAAACTCATAAGGCGCCCTCATCAAAGCACATATGATAATGGCATATAATAGATGTATATTACCTAATATACATCTGCTAGCGTATTTACTGTTTTGTTTTTTGTTTTTGTGAGGAAGATCATCCCTGAGCTAACATCCATGCTAATCCTCCTCTTTTTGCTGAGGAAGACTGGCTCTGAGCTAACATCTATTGCCAATCCTCCTCCTTTTTTTCCCCCAAAGCCCCAGTAGATAGTTGAATGTCATAGCTGCATATCCTTCTAGTTGCTGTATGTGGGACGTGGCCTCAGCATGGCCGGAGAAGCGGTGCGTCGGTACGTGCCCGGGATCCGAACCTGGGCCGCCAGTAGCGGAGCACGCGCAGTTAACCGCTAAGCCAAGGGGCTGGCCGTAGTATTTACTGTTTTATCTTGCATTTATTACCAAAATATATATTTGATTTGGATCCTCCTCTCAGTCATGCTGAAGATCTTCATCTGCTTCATTCACAGTGAAATGGTGATTCTCAGTTTACAGTTTCACATCTGTTACTTTAATAGTTAACAAAGTTTATGTGCCATGAAACCTATTTAAGATTTCCTACCAACATTTTCCTCTTGCCAAATGTTAGAAAATTGGTAGCTTTTTGGTTGCTTAGACTCCTAGAACTCAAGATTTTTTGGTAGGTGCCATGTCATTAATGGAAATTTGCTTATTTTCATGTTTGTAGAACCATGCAAAGAATGTGTATGAGCACAATCTTTAAAAACTTGATCAAGACTCAAGCTGTTTCCTTCCAAACATTGAACCAGACCGTGCTGTATAAGTTCAGTTTTTCTGGCTCTCCTATCACCTGTAACATGCCTGATGCAACGGACTGTGTAGGAGTAGCCTATACTGTGGCCAAAAATTTCTAACTGGCAGATGGTCAAGTGGGCCATTCCTTAAGAGGAATAATAAGTAGAATGTATAGTCAGTTAATTCAGTTGATGTGAAACTAGTGAAGTATGAGTGTTTGGGAATAACACAAACCTAATACCTTTACTCAGTTCCTGGGTAGCGAGATTTTCCGCTCCAGTTCTCAGAATAATTTCCCTGGCTCTCTCTTACATTTGACCTGCGTCTGTACAGAAATACTTTCATTTAAATTTATTAGGAATAATTTCCTGCCACAAAGAAAAGTTTGCTCCACTGTGCAAACCAGTTTCTCAAGACAGGCCAATGAAAAAAGATAATGATTTGGCATTGAAGCCACTGCTAAAAAAAATAAATGATTAGCACTTGAAATATTTTCTTACCTAGTCTAATATTCAGTATAAAACTGTCTTTCTTATACTAGAAGGATCTCTGAATCATTAATGGAGAATTTTTGTTTGAGCATATGATTTTCTTTAGTTTTATAACTTTAAATGATGAGATGTTTTATTATTTCATTTTTGCTTGTGCATTGTAAAAATTTTCAATTTTCAAGGTACATAGAAATATGAGAATTTTTCAAAAGATTAATGGGGACAAATTAAATTATATTTGATGACTATATTATGGTACAAACTGCCAATATTCAGATTTGGTCAACATACTATTTCTTCTTTTATTTACTGTATTCTTTTATTTGGTCAGTGGAGTCCATGTGGATATAAATTATATATATATATGTATGTATGTGTTTTTACTTATATAAATATAAATACACACACATTTAAAAGGCATTTCCTACTGATAGTATTAAATCAGAATTTTCAGCAAGATTATGTAATATTTTTATTGGAACATCACTGGATATGAGTTCAGCTAAGTTACTACTTGAATAAATGTTTTACATTTCATTAAAATAATGCTAGGGATCTATTTATTGTTAATATTTCAGTAGCACAAGAACATTAAGGTAAAAGAGTTTGCTGCAGTCATAACTCTGAACTCATTATACTCTGATCTTTCAACTGCATTTCTATAATGTTTCCTTGTGTGTCTTTATTCATTTGAAACTCTAATTTATTTTTCTTCATTATTTTTCTGTATAACCATATCATTTATAGAATTTTGGAACCTGAACACAGTTTGCATTTGAGGATCAAAAGTTTGTGCTAGTAGTTAGTGATATTTTTGTGCTCATCACAACATAGTTTGTCTTATACCAGATTATACAATAATTAGCAATTTGCTTTAAGAAGCTTTGTTTACTCACTCCTCCATAAAATAACATTTGTATTCTTATAATCAGATGGTTATTTATGGAGTTTTTTTCCCTTCTTGATAACTAAATAAGATTGCATTAATCATTTTTGAGACTGTGATACGAATGCTAATTTTTATACCTCTCTCTATATACATTTAGTAATTATATATGTTAAATGGCTCTGGCTAAAATTAGATCCCACCAAAGGGCACAAGGAAAATGTTGAAATTAATTTTGTTCATTTCTCTGCCACTTTTGATTAAAGTGAAATATTTAATTTCTTTCAATTATGTGGAGGAAAATTTGAATGTCCATCTGCTGCTATATAAGTGGAAGTTTAGCCTAGCTTATATAATTTATAGAAAGCTAAGAATTCATTTAAGAATTGCAGATACTTTTATTTATTTATCCTTGGGTTTACATATTTATGGATTTGGTGTAGGGAATGCCT